ATATATAGTAAAATCGAAACTACACCATGCCGTTGTGTCAATATATCGTATGATTGTTTTATACTGACCGGTACGCTAAGAGCCAAAATTCATTCACCAGTAAGCACTACTTGAACTTGCAAAGTGCCCTTGCTGTGACCATCTTTAACCAACTCGCCAGCTTAACTGCGACTGCTGCTAAGATTTGTTTACGAAAGCACACTTCCGTATCGTATTTCCACGTTATGTGTTACATATTGTATTTTGTACTACGTCATACCCTTATCCCATGCAGTATGTACCGTTATCTCCATCGCTGCAAATTAGGATTTGATTTTGAATCTCATGTCGCGTGATTTCAATATCATCTCTCAGCCCTGTAAGTCACACTCTTGCTAGTCATTTCAGTTAATGGATACACGTACCTAATTCCGACTATTCTTACCGATCCAGTGCATTTATTGTGTGTTTGTCGTTCCGAAGAATACAATGCGAAACCGCATCTAAGTGCCTTTTGTGTGCGTAGAGAGAATGCTTAGGGCTTTCGTAGTGCGATGGGTGCTCTGTTCTTATCGTTTGTGATAAGTGTTGGACAATGTGGCGGAATTATGTGCATCATTTACTAGACAGAAATATTGACTACAACGCATCTGTGAATCAGCTACCTCGGATTGAGACTTTTTAATTTTCAGTGTCTATGTAGCTCTAGTTCTGCCATGGTGTGCGTGAATATAGATACCGCGTACTTGGTTCAAGTGATATTTCTTTATCCAATGAGTGCATCGAGTTTTTATAGGGGGACACAATATTTTACCTCAGAGACTGATAGGCACTGAAATGCTATTATAGGGCTGGCAAAGATCCACTATAAGTGATTTTTCTGGATTTATGTATCCACTATTCAGGATTTATGTATCCACTATTCAGGATTTATGTATCCACTATTCAGTATTTGCTGCCCGTATACATTCTTTTTTTCATTGATTCATACAGTAACTAACCACGCAGGCATGGAGGTATCCTGGTATAGGTTTATACAAACACGCATGCATTTTTCGCATCGATTATTGATACTTTAAAACTCGCTGTTGAACAGGCAATATGGCTCCGGGCGGTCTCACGGATGCTCGTCACCGCCAAACGAGGGCAGTTGCGTGAGCGTGCGAGAGAGTATCGTAAAACTAAGAACAATCAAAAGAAGGATGGCATAGCCAACTCACAAGGCAGAGAAGTCGCACATGTGCAAACAGAGGCACAGAATGAAACTCCATCACGAAAAACTAGTGATAAAGCAAAGGCGGAGTAAAGTAGGGACGTAGACTGGCTGGGTTACTCTCAGCACTACTTCTTAGAAATGTCACCGGATTTAGTAGTTGCACCCAATCTGACGAATAGTGTAGAGAGGCCGAAATATGCTTCTCAAACTGTAGGTAAGCTTCTGGGTCGTCTGGAGTGGCAGCCATGGATGAGTAGAGTATAACTATACTTCAGTATGTCAATCGTGATCAAGTGAAGCAAGGATAGCTTCAGGGGATGGCTTTCGATGCTAAAAATATCTATCGCGTCCGAGAATTGCACATGGAGTCTACTAGTGCACACAAACGGTACGTGTGCAAGGTGCGTCTGGTTCCACGTGTTTGGCGATTAGAGTGTGTGCATATACACTTGATCGCTCAACAGTGGGTAAGATGTCTACCTGACATGCGTGAGCAATTTACCTGAATTGCGCCTCGCCGATATATTCTTTTGGCGCAAAGGCATACGAACGCTGTGCGATAGCTTTACAATTGCTTCTGATTAGCATTTGTGGCTCTGTTCAATGGCCGGGAAATTTATGGAGCCACTGCTTTGTGCGGTTGTTGGTATCGCATACCCACTACATCTCGGGGCTGTAGAGCACCTCCACACGCGCTTACATATTACTCGACTCGACTCGACTTCTTTTTTAGTTTGGACATCTGTATACACAGGCACTACCTTATGAAGCCATTAAACCAAGACATGTAAATCAACCATAAAGTTCATCACATGCTCCTCATACATAGTTTGGACAACATACTTCACGTTGGAATTGTCACGCGGTCTAATAGCCACAGAGCTACCAGTTATTCCTTCTTGGTAACATAGCGCCCTGTAGATTGTCACATATCTCACATCGTACACGCATGCACATGTAAAAGCACATCTTAATGCCCATAATTTTGGTCCTTTCCTTGACAACCTCTTTTTTAATTCTTTCGGGCGAATCATTCATTTGTGAGATCAGATCTAATATGGCTTCACGATACGATGAATAGTTTCAATTTCAATATAATATCATGCATGTTTTTCGAATACGCGTACAATGCTCAAATGTTTTTTTTAGAATGCAAATTGGTGTGACCGTGTAAATATTTTCACTTTTTGTACAACAACAAACAAATGAACTTTAACTTTTGTAAATTAATATTGATGAGAGTAAACAAATTTATAATGAGTTGTTGTGGTTGTTTTTCTATTAAGGTTTAAAAAAATAAGGTCAAGTATGGGACTATGTGGACAGTGGAATATTAAAATATGAGTAAAACCTGAAGTATAGATTTTACATTACTCAATATTTACTCTACTGTAAATGCCAATTGCCAACTTTTAGTTTGTTTAAAAAAAATGTATTGTATTCAGATTTCAGTATTCTTGTGTATGTATTTTTTTAAAGAGCCCTCTTGAAACTTGACTTTAGAGGCGCCAATACTATTGACCTATTGTTTTCAAAGTGTACAGTCTGCTCACTGCTTGTACAGGCATTCCCTGGCAGAGTATTCCAGTTAAATATTTGTCGGTTTGTGTCGACAGTCAAAGTCCAAAGAACTGCCAATTTTTTAATTATCAAACGACTCAAGTTACCAGTCACCACTAAACAGCCAGTGCACTCACCCCATTCAGTCAGCCACCCACCACCCAAGTCACCAGTCACCAACTCACCAGTCACCAGTCACAAGTCACCAGTCACCAGTCACCAGTCACCAGTCACCACTTATGTCACCACTGAGGCACTGACTCACCAGTCACCAGACATTCACGGAGTCACCATTTTATGTAAATTGTAATACATACGGAATTCCCGTATGTACGAGGAGAATGGGGATAGATTGTTTATTTAAATAAAAACGAGTTGTGTCATAAACATTGATAGATAAATAGTAAAATTAAAAATATAAATAGCAGATATGTACTCAAGTTGTAGTACTCAACTACTCATCATGCACGCCACATGCCCATTTGTTTTACTCACTACTCAGTAGTCAGTACTCAGTAGTACTCACTCTCTGACAATAACGAAGGTCTCTCTCTCTCTCTACTCTACTGCCTACTCTCCCTCTCTCTAGAGCTAGTAGTACAGAGAAAAGGACGAGAGCGAGAGAGAGAGAGACTTGTGTCTTAAGTTCTGAGTTCTCAAGTCTCAAGTCTCAAGCCTCAAAAAGACTGTACAAAGACTCCAAGTTCTCTATACCCGTACCGCATGGGCCAACTGGTGTTCTCATAGAGAATGTCCTGTCATAAAGAGGGCAGGCCGGCAGAGTATGATATTCCTCGTGGTCCCAACTCCCATCTATTTTTAATATAAAATATTCTGTCCTATGACATATGATACATATCAGCGGTCAGCCCAGTCCTACATACCATAAAGAGGCCGAGAGGGCTTTGTCTATTCCACACCAAATTCCAAAAAAAAATAGTTGTCGTCATGTCAGTACAGTATATGACTTTATGAGTCATGACCTATATACGGACACTCCGGACAGTCCAGAACTCAGAAGTCAGAACTGCATACTCAGAAGTCTCAACTCTCACGTCACCCACGACCCACCCACACCAACTCGGATTGAGTGACGCCCTCCCCTCCCACAGTCCCACTGCGGCACTGTATTTATGTACTGAAAAGCCCTTCACTGCCTAACGAGTGCAAACCATACAATTTTGTTAAGTCTCTGAGTCGTATTTATTCCCTGTAGCTGTCGTAGTATGTTATTTACCTTTTCTTTTACTAGTTTCTAACCGGTTTCTGGGGACCCCCGGGGATTGTTTTCAACGAATTTAGAAGGCTTAAAACCTGGAATCTTCGGCAACACTGATTGCTATGGCTTGAGCCTTGGAGTCTTGAACCACGTATAGTATCTAACACTCCTGTCACACATGTCAGAGAGAATTGTCACCACAAATTGGTTTCATTAATTTGAGTTGTAATTCAATAGGTGCAACTTTCCCACAGTCCAGATTAAGGCAAAAACCATCAAGTCGCGTGATGTCGCATGAATACTTGTCGCAAGGGCACAATAGGCTCCTCACGGGTGGGGGTGGAGGTCAACAAAAAACTCAACAAAACCAATACAGCCCCTCTGAGACAACTTAACCCGACTCAATTTGTAGGTTACATAAGTTTCAGAGCAAAACAATTCCATGAAACCTGATCGAAGCAGCCAACCCAAATATGATAGCTCAACTCGGTCGCAGTGGTAGCTTGGGTCTATATGCTATGCTTTGCGAACGAGATAAGTATTTTAGTACCTTTCATCATTATCTCCACTAACAGCAAACCTGAAGTGTGTTCAGTATTGTGTACTTTATGCAAGTGTATATGAGTTTTGGTAAATTAGGTACGGCCGACATAAAAACTGAGCCCTTGTAATTGTGGATTTGGACGTTGAATGAGGACTGATCATATTGTATGCCAGGTAATTGGGAATGTAGAGACAGATCGTACAGAAAGGATTGTTCAGAAGCACGCCTACCTGAAATAACATTGGGAGTATTTGTTGTTGATGGTCGGGAAATATTGAATACGATATGAGCAGCAATGTACGCAGGTATGTCACCTGCATTTTTGTTTTGAGATAGTATGTATTTTCTCCATCATTGGGACTCAAATTTAGCGTTTATTGTCTTACCATCCCACATCAAGGCAACACAGCGTTAGAATGCTCACATAAGCAATATATATATATATATATATATATATATATTCATATGTGCGTGTATATACACAGATAAAATCAGGATATTGCCGGGTCAACTTCTTGCAGAAAGGGTTCTTGTTTTAACCTAGCATGAAGCGATTATTCATACGCATAAGCGCGCGGTAGTAATGTGCACTCTCGCCCTGATCCTGATCACCATCAATATCACGAGCTTGGTCTACTTCGGGAACACTTCTATTTGGCTCACGCGACAGAATAATAGTCTCCTTGTGCAGTACCACCTCGTCAGCGTTCTTTGTGATAGCTAGCACTCGAAGCTCGGCGTAGACGGTCGAGGGAGTCCTAATGGGATACAAAAAAGGACAATCAGCCGATTTTGTCTAATAGTGTTTACATCAGATATATAACACGTATGCAACTTCATTTTGAAAAAACAACTAAATGGTATACATATGCGCTTATTGATATTCTCTCGTCTAATCTTTTTGCTGAGTTCTCCCGTGATAAACGAATATTCCATGCGATCTGGTACGAAGGAATAACGGTTGAACATTGTAACTTCAACCTATTCCGATTGTTACGTACTACATCATCACACGACACGTGCATGGCACAGGATAAACCGAGCGCTCAAGACTACAAGACTAACATCAATACACCACGAACCCTTATGTAGCAGTTCTCGCAAGACTCGCAGGTACTACCATCTAGCGCAGAGGAAACTGAATTACATAGGTGGTTGATATTTTCATGGATAAGGTCTTCTAGATGCTGCCCGATCACACTACCACGGGAATAAAGCAAATTTTTCAATCTACACACTCACACAACATAGACGTGTGCGATTCTACCCTTCTAATATCAGCGTACATGTTATCACATACTCATATGCTTATACAAAGATACACCGTATCCTATGATCTCGATTAGATATGTGCACACTAGCAACAGTAGCGTAAGCGGCCAGAATTCCTATTGGGAATGATGTCGGCTACACGGTACACACCAGGAAACCGCCCATGTACATAAACATACACATACGCACATACACATTTGAACATATTCGTGATATTATGTACTTACTTCGACTCGGCCAGTGAAGGTTGTACTAGGAACGGTAGGGAGAGTGGATGATCTTCGCTAATAGGCAAAGAGTGTACAACACGGTGCATCTCTTCAATAAGACGATCATCGTAAGTTTTAAGATCGACAATCAGAGTCACATCCACTGTGTCAGTATATGGTGCCTGAATAGTCACCTCGCCGCTGATGGCCTGTCCAAAACTTAGTTTGTGGTCTGTAAGGATAAAAGTAATAGCAATCATTGAACAATCATTTTGCTATATATAATGTACGACTTTATGGTAGACATACACAAACAGACAATTCGACGTAGAGTGAATGAGGGCGGATCTCGACACTGAAAACTTGTCCGTCCAAGTCTTTATTTGGTGGTTTGCAATGGCTTCCTCTCAGTAAGTCTCACATGTACTAAGCAAGTACAATGAAATATATCATGGATTGACAAGATGTCTGCTATATTTTGTGGCCGACACTCGTTGTATCCGTATAGGGTGCGAGAGGGGCGAGACTACCGCTTGAGACTAATCCGAGTAATCCCACCGATTGAACGATGCTTTAGATTGTAGTTAGGTAAGACTGTGTGATAGCATACATTTGGAACTGATATATACATCCTTTTTACATTGTCCTCCATATACGCATTCGTACTACATACCTTTAAGCTCAAGATCGACAGAAAGCAGCTGTTGTCCACCCTCATACAGTGGGAAGTGCTTTTCCTCAACCCCATTGGCGGCCGACGGCTCGGTCTCTTCAGTGTCATTGACCCATGGGTTGTGTTTAGTAGGAATGTACGCATCCATCGTAGGATTCAGATATTCTGCAGTGATGTCGAGTTCACCTTCCTTCTCCACAGACATCACTCCTATAATACATAATTGTGAGTGGAAAGGTGTATATAGATATCGGAGCTTGATTGTGAAACATACCAATAAATAAAAACTACACCGTTCTGTTACGATTTTGTTGCTGCAATAACTCTGGAAACAGCCACAGCGGCACTACAATAACTGGCCTGTCGTGCAATGTCCATAGTTTGCGCTTTCTGAAGGCTATGTTGGGCGGATCTGCGATTGCTGGGGTTCCCATTGATTGTCTATATGTGTGCGAGTACTCCCAGCCGAAGGACGTTTTTGGCCTCTAACGCATTACTCATAGGCCGAAATGGTTGTAAGTGATGTACACTGTCAACAGCTCTGAACAACATCCCGTGTGGCAAGAGACGGCACGCTGCGAAACCACTCGCACGCAGACAGTAGTGCACACCCACAAACACACATACATACATACACAGAGCAGCACATATATGACGTGAACCACGTACATACATCAAGTCAGGCATGCAAGCTCTACATCAAGCAATGTGACTACCAAATGTGGACTTATGATTCTACGACCATACAGCGGATTAACATAGAGAGATTTCAGTCACGAAGATGTTACCTTGTTTCTTAGTCAAGACTAACGGCACTCCATCTGTCTTATGCTTGATTTCCTTACTGATATGGCAGTACTCTGCAATTGAGGAACAGATACAGGTGCAAGATTAGAGACGGCAGATGCGAGTATAGAGTGCGATTTCACCACGCTAATAGGTACAAATCTAGATAAGTATACATACATGATCAGGACCATGAAAGATATACTACTTGCCATAGATTAAAATCGAACTAGACTTACTGGAGCGGCAGTATGCAGGTGAGAGTATCGAAGTTTGTAAAGACCACTTGATGAAAAGATCGTCAATCATTTGCTGATGTGAAGATACTGAACATAGCTTCAAAACAAAGCTTTTGGAGAACTGTAAAAACATACCGGGCTTGGGAATGGCGTGCATATCGGCGGGCTTCTCACCCTTCTTCGGGGGAGTGCAGTCGTCTACCAGGAACTCACGCAGTGTTGCGTGGACACCTGCGCACATGTCCGATGGAATCACAGTACGTGTGAGTTCCGTCACAGAGTCACAGACCGTGTGGCTGATATAATGAATATACAGATCCCACTGGCACGTCATACGCACACAACACGTGTACAGAATACGCCTGAAGTTGACATAGAAAATATCATAGGCGCTTGAGTATTGTCTTCAGCATACGAGTGTGCCGACAGACATTGTCCAGTGCACACGCAACGATGACGAATACGAGCGACTGCTTGTACAGAGGGAACTTTCTACACATTAACAAGTACACGCCACTAGCTTTGAGGTTTGTGTATACGCGTCTATGCATAATGTATATACGTGTTGAGTATATATAGACATAACTCAAATATCAATATATATATATATATATATATATAGACTTACATACATATATATATATATATAGACTTAAATACAAATATACATGCATATATATACATACACACACACATATATATCTAATATGTACGCATACATGTGCACAATCCCTCTCTCAATGTTCACCCGGTCACATACCTGAAATGCTAGAGGTAACGTTGAAGTCGGCGTCGTCATCCATATCGTGGATAGCTTGCACAGGGGCCGGTCCTATGGCGAACATAAATGGGTAGAAACAATGTGAGATGATTATTATGAAATAAACGTCACCTATGTATAAACGTATATGTGGATACGCACGGGTGTGAATCCCCGTCGTATACATCAGTGGATGCCAACTTCACATTACTATGCACCATGCACTGATAGAACGATATTTGTACACCCGAACGCGCTTCCATTCAAGTACGATTGGACTCAGAAAGTGGAATCGAAGGTGAAGACAAACTGTACAAGCCAGCAATACACACAGCACAACCGAACCAGGATAGAACGTAACGGAAGAAGACTGTCTCTGCAAGTACACCTCAGACCCACATATTCTATAAATACCTGTACCACCGGGAGTACCGTCCATCACGTTCCAACCTGCGAAACATAGCAAGGTGCAGAAACAGAAGCACAGAAATCTGGTTAGTTCACGGAAGACCTTTTTAGTGTACCAGCAGATAGGCAAATAGCATCTACGCAAATAGACCATAGCAGATTTCATATGCTATCACTGTACTAGCCTACACACGCAACCAGCAGAATCCAGAGGAACAAATGCTGACTAGAGAGTACTGAAAGTAAAACCAGGTTTGCATACCGGAATACTTCTTAACTGCTCGCTTCATGAAGATATCATTCCAGCTGTGGAAGTTCCATACATGTCCTTCCTTGTATACCAGAGTACCGTTTCTGTTGTAGTAACTGGGAGATTGCCGGCAGATACATACGTGTATATTAGTTATGGAAAGCTTGGAGTGCAACGTATGACTGCTCTTTTTAGCAAGGAACTCCGGGGTTTGTGATAAAGACGAATGAGGAAGTAAGAATGTCACCTATTCAACTGCGCCATCGTAGTGAGCGACTGTTTTGTATACAAATCGTCTCCAAAATGACAGATATGGTTTTCCGACGCCGTCAAACTTTGTATGATAGGCAATCTGCATTCAGTCTGTTGCTTTGAATCACATACAAACAAATGTCCCATCCACAGACAAACATACAGCTTGACCCTGACACACAGAACTGCACTTACTAGTTGACTACGTGATGGTCCTTGTGGTCCGAGAAGACCTTGGGTGAAGCACCGACCCTGGTTGCATGAGAAAATGAGGTAATTTGGATTTAGGGGTGACTTTCGCTAACTCGCACGTATATGGAGAAGGACATACATATAGATATATTTACGCATATATCTATATCTGTATTGGATAATTTATTATATTCATAAAATTTCACATTGTACAATGGAGTGGTATTGCAGATCCTCAAAGATTCAGGTATATACATATGTATCAAATTCGGGCCTTCAGACCCTACAGAAGAGAATAAATTGGTTGCACATACAACAATTGCGACTGATGTGTGTGTAATTGCAGAATAACATACAGTGGCTGTATGCATGTTGAGAATCTGTAGTATATACACACCAATATGTGTATAGAACATTCACAGGTGCTTAAGATACATACATGCTGGCCATTGCCGATGTCTGACGGGTTGGCACTCCCAAAGTTCGTAGGTAGGTATTCTGGATCGCTGCAAACACCTGTACAATAAGGAAACAGTCGATAATATGCCAAACGCCCGTTAGAATAAGTGACAAAACGTTTCAGAAATCCCGGATGATAAAAAGAGCCACAATGTAATAACGATTAAGGCAGATAGATATAAGTACATGATCACGGCTCTGACACACACACACACATTTATATAAATCACGTACCCAGCATTGGCCATACTTAACCGGCTTGTGGCCTGCATCCTTCCATCGGCTGATGATGTCGATGGTGCTGTTCCAGTATCCTGTGTTTAGTAAGACGCGTTCGCATTTGAGGTTGAAACATCATGCACTATGTTGTCGTACTCAATAGAATATCACACGCAAATGGAGATTCCACAGTGTAAAGGTGGTATTAAGGTATTGCAAATGTATACTTCCCTTGGTCCACACTTACAACAATTGACAGTCTATCTTACCGGGCTCATGTGATGGCGCAGGGAAGTCTTCGGCCCAACGGCCTTCCAGAATTCCATCAAGACGGCCTCTAAATGGCGATCAATGGCAGTTTGATTGAGATTTGATGAAATTACCATGCTACACACCCAGTGCTTGTTATATTGCGATCCCTCAGAACTATCTCCTCATATTTCACGAGCAAGCACCAGAACAGGCGGAAAGAAAGAGCAACAGGTGCTACGAAGCAAGCAAAATAAATAGACCCAAATCTAACCTTATAGGTATGTTCTTGTAGAACAGGCAAAAGGAAAGTGTAACAGGTGTTACGAAGCAAGCAAAATAAATAGACCCCAATCTAACCTTATAGGTATGTTCTTGTAGAACAGGCGAAAGGAAAGTGCAACCGGTGTTACGAAGCAAGCAAAATAAATAGACCCAAATCTAACCTTATGGGTATGTTCTTGTCCGTCATGTTCACCATTCCGATGTTGTGCGAGATGTGCTGAACGATAGCCAAGGGATCGTGCATCTTGTTCGAGTCCAGTGTCTTCAACATCCAGAATGCTGCTTCCAGAGCGAGCTATAGGACATATCAGAGGCAAATCGGGAACGGTGAGTGAGAAGGTCGAGTTGCAGATTGAGCGCCTCTCTTGGGAGAAATGTATACAAGAATGTGCATACGCATCTTCTGCACCCCCTGGAAAGAGGGCACCACGAATCATAAGTGTACAGCTCATCCATGAATGTATTTCTAAACATGTGGGCAGGTCGACTCACGCGATGAAATGTGTGAACTGAAATGTCTTACATTTGCATTTGAGTGTACCGATCGATACTACTTATTTAGATCACAGGGTAGGTTATGCCACGTGCATAAGCATTTGATACATCCATGCAGCGACAGTACGTGGCAAACACAGACAACGACACCAATAGACACAAATACAAACACACCCATATATATATATATATATACCTCATCTTGGTTGCCGTACCACCAATCGATAGCCTCATGAGTATGAGCTGTACCAGTGTACACGGGACCGCGCTCACTCAGTACATACTCCTCCAGATCAGCCTCATCTTCCATGTAGAAGACGGAGTTGGGATGCCACGGGTTGAAGATCAGGTATACGGGGAAAGGGTAGCTGTACATATACTGCTCGGAGGGTTTGGCGTGGCCTACGGGAAAATGAGCGATAGAATGGATGAGTAAAGCGATATGAGTTTTCGCTTCACTTCAAGTAACTAAGCATGTATATACAGAAGCTACGTAAATGTGAGAACTTGTTTTGATTTGCGATTGGACATTGTACCAAGACGCTTCACACAGATACGAAGACGACACAGGCTTTTACTATCAAACCAGAACACACAGTAGTACTGATGTGAATACATACCCTCCTCGACCTGTGCCACATAGAAGATTAGATCTTCGTACTTGCCCAGAGGCTCTTCATCTTCAGCCATGACCGTTACAATGTACTCCTTATCGTGGGACCCTTCCCTAAAGGACATTCAGGTGTAGAATACCTTGTTAACAAACAGCCGACTATTTATTGATAAAATATCTATTGTAATACATGTACTTGAAAAGTTGACCTAGACACTATGGGCGTGTGACGGGTGATTGATATTCTCCACACCCCGACTTTTCTCCATAGCATCGTGGGAAATTCATCACTTGTCACAAAATAACTAACGTCACATCTAGCCCCAAAACAATGCCACATACCACAGTGTACATAGCATCGCATATCACACCTCTGAGTTCGGATGAATACACGACAATATCGTGACATTTCACAATTATAATATCATAACAGGGCTACGATTGACTTACTCGACTGTATGAGTCATAAATTGAGGAGAGGCGACGTCCTGTGAGCGAGGTAAAAATTAGTAGCGATAGGATAAGCAACGGCTTTGTGTTATACGAAAGTATCGACGAGCACGTATGTTAAAATGATATCATGCTGATATTGACACTTTGCAAACCTGTGCGAAAAATGCTAGGATCATCAAATATTCTAAGCACTATACTATCCACTTGAGTCGGTGCAACAAGGCCTACATTTAGTTATGCACAGATCCAGGCTTTCGTCTTAAAATTTGTATCCTGCCCATTGAACTACATAGATGAAAACGATACACACATCTACACACCTACTAATCATTTAAGAGAAAAACCCCGCACATCGCACATACCGGTCCCAAATCAGTAGCCATGAGGATTGTCTCCCCGTTCTTCAGAGGCGAATCCGTCTCGACAATTAGATCGAACTTCTGGTTCTGTCGGATTACAAATCCGAGGTCGACACGGTAGCCATCGGTGTGGTGCGCCTTGAGAGACTCGGGTGTGATCTGCACACCCAGTACTTGGGGGGTTTGTACTAGATGCTGTGCTAGACAGACTGTCGCTGCGAGCAGCGATACTACGCCCGCGCGTATCAAAGAAGCTGCAATACAGGATGATGGAGAAGTGAAGTCTTGTGAATATGTGTCATCTAAAGTGCATACGATTATTGCTACACGAATCGCGGCCAAGCAAGGGTCAAGTGTCATGTTTTGTGGAATAGTACTTGTACGTATGATGTGAATATAAAGTACAAACATAGTATATAGTTTTGTAAGTAGGTCAATCTATTCAAAAACAACTGTGTATATCGTATGTGAAGGTATTGAGTATATATTTAATAATAAATAATATTTACGTGCGTAGGAAAAAGGTAGTCAGAGAGAAATATATACATATAAATGAATATGTATGCACGTATACATATATATAGTAAACCTATACATATGCATACATACATACATATATATATATATAAATATAAATATATGTATCTGTGTCTGTATCTGATATATAGGTGTATATATATTTGTATCTGTATCTGATCTATATATATACACATACATACGTACACACATACACACACACACACACACATATATATATATATATAATTCTATGCCAATACCACAACATACTTACACACAC